TGTGGGCCTCTGGGCACCCGAGCTCCCCTGCACAAGGTCATCCTGGGGCCTCTGTCCACCAGGGGCTGACCAGGCTCTGGGGCTGACCCCGTGGACCTCAGAAGCCAGGCCACGCGTGGTGCTGACGCGTGGCCTGCTGCTTCTGGCAGGGAGGATGCTGGGTGAGGAAGGACAGGCTAGAGCCAGAGTGATGGCCAAGGGCAGCCAACCAAAGAGCACCCAGGCCCAGGACAGTCAGCGCAGTGGGCCTGGCCCGGAATCCTCCAGTGTGGGTCAGGTGACCTGTCACCCAGTGCCCATGGTATGGGGGATATGGGGAAAGAATTTTGTCCTGACCTCTTTAGGAAGACAGATTCCGTTCGGGGGCAGACCGTGGCTGGGGGTCCCCATCTGGCCTGCCACTGTTCAGGAAAGTCTTCCTGGCGCCCAGCCGAGCTGCCGGTTTGCACATCTCTCTGCGGCTGCTGTGGGGCTTCAAGGGCAGAGTTGAGTCGTTGCGACAGAGACCTGCGGCTTGCAAAGCCTGACATGTTTACCGTCTGGCCCTTCACAGAGCAAGTTTGCAGACCCTGGCCCGAGCAGAAAGCAGACCAGGATTCGGGATGTGCAGTTAGGGCATCCCAAAACAGAGACACGAGGTGGGCCGGGACTTCCAAGGAGGGGGTGGGGATTTCTGGAAACAAGTGGGCAGGTGGCAAGGGCGAGCTAGGACCCTGAGGTGGGCGAGCTTCGCTTTAGGAGACAGTGATTCGCGCAAGACAAGCTGGCAGTCTGGTGTTCATTGAGAAATCTCCTGATTGGTTACATGTTTGCAATTATTCACTTTTTAGACATCATGAAGCCCACCAAGCACATCTGTCTGGCGTGTGGGCTGCAAGTTTGAGAACTCGGGTGTCCAGGTTGGGAGAGAGGACGTGTGGATGGATGTGGGTAGACGGGAGAGAGCAGGCCAGGCCCGGTGCAGTAAGCCAGTAGGCGAGCTCCGGGCTGGGGGCAGAGGGGACAGTGAAGGGAGAGTCCGAGAGGGGGCGCGGCAGAGTCCGAGACCTGCAGGGTCGGATGGCCCCATCTCCCAACCAGTCCCAGGCCGGTGGAACATTCCTGCCAGCAGGCTGGGAGCTGGGGAGCAGTAGGACACTCCTCCTTGCTTACCTGGCACCCCCCCCCCGCCCTGGGAATCTGTAGAAGGGGAGGTGGGAGGTGGAGATCTCTGAAGTGCCCTCCGAGAGTCCCAAGGGTTTGGATTTGCTGCTCTGTCCCCCAAGACTTGGGCCCTGTGTGGGGATGGGCAGAGGCTGGGCTTCGAGCTGGACAGGCCTGGTGGACCCCATGCCCTGGTCCCCTGGCACTTCTGAGACACAGGGAAGACCCCGGTTTGGCAGGCTGCCAGGAGATTCGGGGAGAAAACGGGCGCGGAGGGCTGGGTTTCCATGGCACCCTGACGTGCCTGTGATTGGGGCCTGGCCTCCAGGATGCAGTCTGTTCCTCCTGACAGCAGCCGGGGCATCTGGCTCCTTTCAGCCTCGCACACCAGCCCTTACCTGCGGGTTCAAGCTGCTGGTTGGCAAGTACTCATTGGCTTTGCTGTGGGTTTATTGCTTTAGGATGCCCGGGGGCAAGTGACAGCAACACAGGCTAAGTGGCCAAAGCAAACAAGAGAAGTCCATGGCTCATGGACAGGAGACAGCCCAGGGTAACTCCCGCCTCAGGAGATAATGGATTCCACTGCTCAGATGATACTGTTAGGACTTTATCTCACTCCGTCCCCAGCTCTGCGTCCCTGTGTTGGCTTCAATCCTATGCAGGCCCTGCATTGTGGTGGCAGAGGTGGCCTTCAGGTTCATGGCCCATTACCCCCCCCACCCCTGCCTGGAACCTGGGGGCAGCATCCTTGTCTCAGTGAGAGCCCCAAGACTGATTCCCATTGGCCCAGCTCGGGTCACAGGCTCAGCCCCGGACCAGTCACAGCTTGGGTGGGTCAGGCTTTCCCCGCCCGCACCCCTGCCCTCCCCTACCCAGGGGTCCCCACTTAAGCCATAGGGGGTGGGGAGGCAGGCGGGGTCCAGCACAGGCCCAGGTGATCTTGCAAGAAGATCAGGAGGTTGATCCCAGGGGGCAGTGCAGGCTGGACGGGCCCGCACTCACTCTCCAAGTGCAGCATCTGTACCCTGGAGGCCCCGTCTGGAGCCCCCTGGCTCATCAGAGGTCGCCCCTGCCTGGCTGACTTCAGGCTCAGTTCTCCAGCCAGCCATGAGTCACAGCCCACATTTCCCCACATGCTCTAAGATGTTGGCGGGGTTTGGTCCAGGGCCGCTAGGAGGCTCTTGGGATGACTTCTCTTTAGTTCTGTTATAATTATATTGATTTTCTCCCTTTTTTGGAAGTCTCTCTCCTTGAGGGAGGAGGCAGAAGCCCCGCCCCTGGGAGGGGTGTCTTACCCATTCAGAGGCACCCCCTTTTGAATGGTGGCACTATTTCAAAAAGAACAGGGGGTCAGGATGAGGCCACACTGGCCCCTCATGGGCCCCCTTCCCTTTCCTGGGATCAGAGGGTTGGGAGAAGGGACCTAGCTTTTCAGGATCACAAAATGTTCTTTGACCTCTGAGTGACAGGACCAGGGAGATGGTTTTTGTGCTGTCATTATTCCCTTGAAAGTTGCATTTTTTAGATTACTACAATGACCAGTTTTCAGGAGAAATGGGGTGAAGAGATCCTAAGCCCATGGGCTACCCACAGATTACATCCCTGAGGCTGGGCAATCAACGTTGTGGCTCACTTTTCAGTCGTGCCCTGGTCATGGAGCTACTGGAGGCTTGCATCCCATCCAATGGTGGCGGGAAGGTGCTAGAAAGAGGGGGCAGGTGGGAGGCCTGGGCCTTAAGTGCCTCCAAGTAGGCTGAACCAAGAATGGCTGATACAGGGTTGACGGATGGAATGTTCTGTTGCCCTTCGTGAGGCTGGCCCTTAGCCAAGGAGATTGGCTCATCCTGGTTTTCCAGCTGTGGGATGGCAACACAGGGAGGTACGTGGTCAGACACCTGAGCACATTCTGTCTTACTTGAAATAGTTTGATGGTTTCCTTCTATGCGGGGAAGATCTAGGGCTTCGAGCTCAGACATGAGAATCTGTCCACTCCTGCCCTAAACTTGGCTGCTCCCCTTTAGGAGATCCTGGCCACAGCCTCCTTCCTGCTCCCGTCTCTCCCCGCAGTTCTCTTTCTAAAACACCTAATTCCACACCCGTACTCCCCATTAGTGACTTCAGTGGCTCCCTGGTCCCTAGGGATGAAGTTCTTAGCACGGCTTCCGAGAGCCCACGTGATCTGGCCCCGGTTTTAGAGCCTCCTCTCTGCACAGTGACCTGGCCCCACTCCAGACTGAGCCGCTGGAGTCCCCAAGTGCCCCTCCCTCCCTGCCATGCACTGTGACATGCCATCCCCCAGTCTGGAAGCCCCCTGCTTGCTCAAGCCCCCGGAAACCTCACTGCCCCCTCCCCTGGGGGAGGAGGGCTTCTCCGGTTTCCACAGGTCCCTGCGTCTCCCCGCCATTAGCCCTCACATGGCCGTGTTCTGTTGGTTCCACTGTCTCCCCGCCAGCGAGCCTGGGGTGGCTGGGGCTGTCGTCTTGTGCGCACATGGGCCCTGGCTGCTGCGGGCACTCAGGACCTGGGGGTGGAGTGGGCGGACACTTGGAGGTCACGGGTCAGGCACCCCCCCGAGCCTTGGTTTCCCCGCCTCCACTATGGGGATGACGGTCAGGGCATCGCTGGGGGAACAGGTGTGCGGGGAGGCCCAGGATGCTCTCGGCGCGGTGCTGGGCACGTGGAGGTGTTGGGCTTTGGGGGAGCTGTTGCTGGCCATGGGCCAGAGCCCCCCCACCCCACCCCAGCCCGGGCACCTGCAGGTGGTCTCAGCTGGACAGGGTCTCAGCTGGAGTGGGCAGGAGGCTGGACAGTCAAGGGAGAGGAGTCGGGGAACAGGGGGAAACGGGGAGGGCAGTGAGAGGGATGCCCAGTGGAGACTCGCAGAAGAGCCTCATCACACCTGCCCATCTCCCGGCACCGCCCAGTCTCCCTCCTCCAGGGGGGCCTCCATTGTCATGGGGATTAGCTCTGGCTCTGCGTGAAAACTGTCTGGGGACTTTGAAATACCCCCATGGCAGGCCATACCCCCGAACAGTGTCCTCAGATGCGAGGTGGGGCCCCGAGGCGTTTCCTTGCTCTACCGGGGGGGGGGGGGGGGGGGGGG